CTATGTAGTGACTCTTAAAACTGTAGTTGTCTGGAAAGGATGGAAATGCTGAGATGATTTCATCAGGAGGAGAAGACTACAACAACCTTGTCTGTAATCGGTGAAAATGGTTCCTCATTTTCCTCTTCAACAAAGATATGAAGATACTCTGAAGATTCCCTCAAAAGGAATGGTAGAGAGATTACTCCCTGGAAAAACTCATGAGGTCTGTATACCTAGTATATAGGATCCCATGTTTTCCAGTATATTGCATCTGGAGAGGTTGCTAAGATCCCCAAGGCAGGGGTACCACCTATCCCATGAGTCATCTCAGATAGGGATGTAAAATCCCATTTAAATTGACTAACCGGTTAAATATCATGTTTAACTGGTTAACTGATTAAAGGGGGGCAGGCTGGAGTGCCTCTGCCTGCAGCACATTCTGGCCTGCCATGGAGAGAAGCTGCTCCGACTGGGCTGGAGCGCCCCTACCCCTGGCAGGCCCCATGGGCTAGAGCAGCCCTGTGCCTGTGGCAGGCAGGAAGTTGTTCCAGCCTCCACCAGTTAACTGGAACCGGTAAACACCATCCATTAAGGGTGATGCTTACTGGTTAACTGGCTAACCATTCACATCCCTAGTGTCAGAGGGGAAACTGGTAACAGGAGGCTATTGATCCGCCTGAACTAACAGATTTCAAAGATGATGATGGTGGCCATTATAGCGGCTCTGATTCTCCCAAAGAGAAGAAAACATCTGGATCTATCAGCAGCACACAGTTCAAATGGAAGAAAAGTATAGTTGAAGGACAGGACAGATTTCTCTCCAAGCTAACAAGATGTAAATTACTCTGTAAATTACCCTTAGCCATTTTGATTTTGTCCTTATACTGATGTGTACAGACAAAATCACTAGCGATGTGTCCATGCTTCCACATCTCCTTTTTTTACTTTCAGGTCATTAAAGAGCTAATAATAGAGCCATAAGTACCAGGTGATCTTGAAACAGCTTGAAATTGTCCTGCATTAGTATCAGTGACCACCTTGTTGGGCAATGAGGAGCCAAAGGTCTTTGGGTGGATGACAACAGGCACAGACAGATTTGCATCTCTGTGTCCCGCTCCTCCTCAGACTCAGACAGCTACAGTTTTGCCAGCAGGCTAATCGAACGGGATTGTAAGTGAGCAGCTCCTTTAGGCTTTGGAAGGCAGATCCCGGTTACCCCAAAAGTGTGCAGGAGGCATCCCATATGAATTCAGGTGTCTTCTCCATAGGCACCAATAAGAGTATGGCACCATAGATGCTAGGGCTTTTGTTGGTACTGATGGATATCTCAATGCCAATGACACTGTCCACAATTGCTCACCCGATTGTGGGACTCAGGAATGGAATGACAGTCTGCTGGACCACAGTCTACTCCTTTTCACTTGTCTTCAAGAACAAGTTTGAGGATTTATTCCATGATCGTTTTCTCTCTCTCTGAGTGCACAGTGATATCATCCAAGAGCTCCTGCCCCAATGTTCTGGGCTGTGTCTTTCAGTGACTTGCTTTGACATCTCTGGCACTACCTTCAAAGTGTACAGTCTCAATGGTTCTAGTGCCATGGTCAATGCCAATGCTCTACAGTTTAAAACGCAGTAAGAGCCAGAGGGCAGGCTGCCCAGCTCCTACTGCCTTTTAAATTGCGGAGCTGCAGCGGGGTTTGGTCCCACAACTGGCGCGAGCCAGAACTGAGCCAGGCTGCCTATGGACTAATCAAGTAGTCAATAAAAACTCCATCGACTACTCGGTTAAATGCCTGCATTTTAGTATCTCCAATAAGGTGTTTAAGTTAGGAAAAATAATTCTAAGAATGGTGCTAAAAACAGCCATACTAGGTCAGACCCAAGATCCATCTAGGCAAGTATACTTTCTTTTGAAAGTGGCCAATGCCAGGTGATTTAGAGGGAATGAACCAAACAGGTACTCATCAAGTGATCCAGCCCGTCACCCGAAAGTTTCCTAGCTTCTGACAAACAGAAACTAGAGACACAATCCATCTTCACTGATAGCCATTGATGGACGTATCAATATCCTTGAGTTTTATCTAATAACTTTTTGAACCGTTCTTAGTCTTGGCCTTTACAACATCGCCAACTGGCAAACAGTTTTACAGGTTGACTATGCATTGTGTGAAGAAATACATCTTGTTTGTTTTAAACCTGCTGCCTTTTAATTGCATTGAGTGATCCCTAGTACTTGTGTTATGAAGAGGAACACTTCTTTGTTTACTTTCCTCATATCCCAAGTCATGATTTTATAGACTTCGATCATATCCCCTTCTTAGTCATCTCTTTTCCACACTGAAAAGTCCCAGGCTTACTATTTCTCTCCATATGGAAGCTGTTCCATTTAATTAATATTTTTGTTGCCCTTTTCTAAATCTTTTTCAATTCCAGTACATCTTTTTTGAGATGAGGTGGCCACATCTGTACACAGTGTCACATTGGTTATCCTCTAGTCATCTGGTACAGAAGCTGATATGAATGAAAGGTTAAATACTATAGTTAGTAGTTTTGCAATTTCCCATTTGTGAGTTCCTCCAGAACTTTCGGATGAATATGATATGATCCTGATGACTTAACACAGTTTAATGTCTCAATTTATTCCAAAACTTCCTCTAAATCTGGAAAGGTTCCTTAAATTTATCACCTAAAAAAATGGCTTAGGTTTAGGAATCTCCCTCTCATCCTCAACTGTGGGGAAAAAAAACCATTTTGTTTCTCCACAATGGACTTTTCATTCTTCATGCCTTTAGCATCTCAATTGTCCAGTGACCCTACTGGTTGTTTCTAATGTACTTAAATATTTTGCTATTACTTTGAGTCTTTGGATAGCTGTTCTTTAAATTCCAAAGGCACAAAGGAATGTGCCTTTTTCTGCCCTAATGAAAAAACATCCCAATTCTGGCCAAATTATAAACCACCAAAACAAACTGCAGTTCACACATACTCACTTGAGACTTGGAAGTTTGGCAGAAATAGCCAGTGAAGAGTCTGTCCGTACTGGACTTGCACCAGGGTTACAGGTGGTGAGAAGGGTTCTGCAAGTTCTCTGCCCATCTAGCAGGGGCCACCCCAGTGTTTGGCAAAGGAAATGAGAGAACGGAGCCTGTCTCTCCTGTGCTCTCAATGCTTCTGGTTGCTGGTGCCCAGGAGAAACGAATAGTGCATTTTAAATGGAACACAATGGGTAAGGAGTAAAGCATAAGTAGTGTAGGAAGGGACAGATATAGTCTATGATGAATCTGTAATTAAAAACTGTATCCTATTGCATTTACACAGGGGGCTCAAATTAATGTTAAAATGCAAACTTAATTCTGACATTTCCTAACTTCTGAGCGATTGACTTTGAAAATTTTTTTTAAATACAAGAATGTAGATTGTGCATACATGAATCCATTCACATGTGCTGTTTTTCTAAGGCTGCTACGAAGGAATAAGGAACCACACAGATGCCTGTGAGAGACAAGGGCTACTACACTATTAACCTCAGAATTGCATAATCCATAGCAGAATCATCAACTTTCCCTCAAAATTGCTGCTGGACTATACCCAGGCTTGGTGACCCAAGAGAACTAATATGACTAGTGCCATCACATGTGGGTAATGGCACCATCTCTCTCCATCCCCCCCCATCTCTGAACAAAATACTGAGTTTTAACTGAAAGCTTCTGACTACAACAGGAACTCTTACTGTAGGATTCCAGAAGGAAAGCAGTACATAGAGTCAGTGAGAAACAAAAAGAAAAGAGTATTTCAGATCTCTTCCTCCAATGTTTCTAAAAAGGTAATATAACAAGTCTCTAAAAACAAAACTAGAACTGCAATGCTGAGAGACATGGTTAATTTATTAAGTTGTAAAGTATATCAGCATTCCCCTCCCCCCAAAATAAAAATACCAACAGAAAAAGCTTGGAAGGACAGAAATTGAAATTGAAAGAAAGATGTGGTAAATTATGTAAGTTAAAAAAAAAAAAAATCAATAAAGTCAAAGTACTGGGATTGATACAGCAGTTAATTACATATCTATGTTACAATGTTCTACTGTCTAATATTTCCTTATTCTTCTATGGACAGCTCAAACACGATGAGCCAAATATCCAAAAAGAACTTCTTACCGATCCTAAATCTTGCCCACTTCTTTAGGTCTATGCAATAATCACAATGTCTCTTGTTACTCTCATCCACTTCATCTTTTTTACTGGCATCCCTAAGCAAAAACTCTACAATACACACACAAATTCAAGGTCCTTGTCCTTATTTTCAAAGTTCTGCAAAATGTCATCCCTACATATATAGAATTTCTATTTAAATTTCCTTGCATATAACTACTGTATTTCTATCCTTACTTTTCCCTTCATTTTTTCCTGTTCCGACTTTGTGCCCCTTTTGTGCTGTACTCTATGATTGGAATATCATCCCCTTATCTACCAGTATCTTCTCTTCTACCCTTTCAAGGTTCTCAAATCCCATTTCTACAATAAAGTCATAACGTACTGATTTCCTTGCTTTCTTGACAACCAAATTGGTGTTTCATATGTTTCCCTCCTGTTAATGATGGGAAACAAGCAGTAGATCACATTGGTGAGATGGTTTAAGAGCTCTAGCGTTCCAAAGTTTGCCAAACTGCCACCAGTTACTGATAGCATGGACCTAGGAGTGGGGATATTTAGTTTTTAGGGAAATATAGTACACAATGTTTTTTTGAAATAATTTTTTAAAACGTTCTCATGTGATTTCAGCTGCTGTTTAGAGAACAAATTTGTTAATATTCAAAAAACACAGAAAAAAACAAGCAACAGATTTTTTTGTACATGGATTTCAATAACCTACAATAGAATTTATTTTAATATGCTGAATGCTACTTTGGATAGGCAAACATTTAAAAATTATTTTGGATTGCTCAGATTTGGATAACAGGAAATCTCCGCGAAAGTAATTGCAAAGCACTAGCATAGTAAAGAAATAGACAAAAGATTTACCTTGCTGAGTTTTCTGTTCTTGAGTTCTATTCACAGTGAGGTCAAGAGGGCTATCCTGTTCTTCCTGAAGAGAGTTTTCCGTTTGGTTCATTTGGATATTTTTACATATCAGACTTGGTTCAAATGATGAACCATTTCTATTCTCTTGAATTTTGCTACTTTTTGAAATGTATTCAATTGCAAACTGACGAATCATCTTTTTCATTAATTCCTGAGCAACTAGGGGAATGTTAGGATCACAGTTCTGAGGAAGATCTGTGGGGGGGAAAATGGAACACATGTATTAATATAAATGAACAATTTTTTTTATCTTTCTTTTAATAAGACTAAAATGCTTACTCAATAAATGTAGTAATTTTGGACCAGATTTTGAATCTCTTTTTACCTTACTCCATGTGTACTTCAATCAGTGAGCCTATCTGAGAAGTAAGGTATTATTTAAAGTAAGTAAGGGTATCAGACTATAGCTCTTTGATTTTTAAAATATATCAAGCTGAAATATGTCTTGTAGGCTTCTAAGTTTCAGGTGTTAAAGGGTTTAAACAAAAGTAGTACAAGTGAATTAGATAAAGCTGTAAGTTACACTGTAGTTAAAAATATTATTTTCAAAAAGACTTTTACTATTATAGCAAACAAAATACAATTTAAAATGTCTTTAAGACTATCCTTAGTATTGATTGGAACATTCTGAGAATCTTAGAAAAACAAAGATTAAGTATGACATAAAGCTGTTTCACTTATTCATATGTACATTCAGTTAATTTACATTGTCCACATTGTTAATTCAGGATTGTCAAGCCAAGATGTCAGTAGAAATCTCCTATACATGTTATAGGGCTGTAATAAACTAAGTTACACTTTGGATTTCTCAAAGAAAGTGGGTTGTGCCTACTTAAGCTCATGATATCATCTACATTTCTGGGTAGTTTCTAAGGTGCTACAGGACTATTTGCTATTTTTATGGGATGTACACCACATATACTATGTTCTAATTTCCTTTCCTATTTTCAATTATGGGGCCATATCCCATTTTTGTTTAGTCTTCCAACACAGAAAAGTAGTACAAGGAAAGTCTATAACATATTTTAGCCATCTTGTAAGTGACGATTACAGGCTGGAAAAAGGAAAGAGACAGCATCACACGACTAGCTCGGTCTCACCGACCACTCACAACTTTACCATAGACCACTGTTTGAGAACACCAAAGTAAAGCAAAATCCCACCTTCTGCTGAAATATAAAAGACCTGCCAAATCAACAAAGCAAAGCAACTACACATTGAAGAATACAATTAGAAAGATTATCAAAATAGACCATTACTCCCTTACAATTTTTACTCTTGCTGATGCATGATGTGTTTTAGGATTTACCCTCATAAAAATCATTCAATGGAATTGAATGGCTAAATCTCCACAACCCATTCAACATGTCTGAATTGCACTTTATCGCGTCAAAAATATATTTCTATGGTTCATTCCCTTAGTTTCATTATATTTCTTGTGCTTTACATATGCTAATAATGTTGCTGTTCAGCAGCACAAGTGTCATGGTAAAGAGTGTGTGAAACCTTATAACGACATTATTATTTATCTTGTAATTCTGCTTCTCTAACAATACATTGTGGCAGAATTCTCACCTGTGTGTTCTTCTCTTGTTCATTTACGTACCCAACTCAACCCTGATCTTATAAGGTACCACAACTCAACCCAATAGCAATCTGGTCACGTCACTATTACTGAAATCATATACAGAGTTAGTACACTATACTACTGTTTTTACCAAGACAAGATCATATATCTTTAACTTTTCGTATGGTGGAGGAATCATATTAAGTAGAAAATCTTGTTTTGGGAAAAAGAATGAGAGAAACAGCATTTCTTTTCAAATATGATATTAGAGGAAATTGATTACATATATTCTGGAGAAGAAATAATATTTTCAAAACAGATTCAGATAAAGAGTTGTGGGTCATGAGTGCTCTGTCACTGAGAAAAACAGGATTTTCAATTATATACTATATGAATATTTTTCTCAAGTAAAAGTTTTCTTGTGCAATATACACTTTAGTACCAAAGTATAATTTTAAATGTATATTTCAGTTTCAGTAAATGACAAAATAAAAAAAACCCTTACATATTATTGTGCATCTAAAACTGAAAAAATGAACAAAATACTAAAAAATTGAATATTCTATTTAGTGGAAGTGTTTCACAGTACATAATAGTAACTAAGTTAGTGAATGTGAAAACAGTAAATACAATAAATACACTTTTGTAAAAAAATAAACTGCATTTCTCTATATCGTGTGAAATTCTATTCTCAGCAGGTAACACTAAATACACTTTGGATGAAAACCCTAGTAACACAGTGCAAAGATGTGTTTTATTAATTTTAGGAAGTCATGACTACAACTTAAAGCTTTTCAAAATGTAGTTCCTTCCTTGTTTATTTACAGACAGAAAGCCAGGCCACTGTTCTTCCTAAACCACTGGGCAGCTGCAGATTTTCCCAGTATGTGTATGTATACCATTCTGCAGGTAATAAAACAGTCCTTAAGAGTTTGGCCTAACAAATAAACTCTGTGCTTGCTCTAACGTTTGCTCAGGGCCATTTAGGTCCTTCACTGGTTCTGGGACCAAGCTAGATGTTGCTCTCAGTTTCAGGAGCCCCAAGCGTCAGCGTGGTGTAGTTGTGATTTTTCTGCTCATGATTTCTTAATATTCCATTTTAAAATACAAGGGAAGACAATTAATAACTGAAATAATTACTCCTCTGTATTACAGTGGTTTTCAAACTTTTTGTATTGGTGACCCCTTTCATGCAGCAAGCCTCTGTGTATAACCCCGCTTACAGTTAAAAATGGAAGGGGTAATTAATGGCGCTGACAGCTCAGGGCCTGCTTTGTAACTCCTGTAGGGGTCATAACAAGCAGTTTGAGAGTCCCTGACATAATATGTGTTATTTTTTTGGAGTCCCCAGCATCAGGACACCCCTGTTCTAGGTGTTGTGCCCATTAAGCAACACTTCTATTAGCGTGTCAAAAATATTCATAATATCCTTCTTCTTAGCTGTAGTACACAGGACCACTATACTGTGATGACTCTTTGTATAGAATATAGATGACTAGTTAAGTTGGTGGTTTGAATATATACACATTTTTAAAAGTCTATGGAGGGCATAATAGGGTATACAAACCCCACATTGTGCACGACAGGGCTACTGAATTATTATAGGCTCAGTCAGCTAGATTCCACTTGTGAAAGATGTCAGACTTAGAAGAAATGGCTTTCAAGGAGAGATCAGAGCAGAATTTGTACAGGGCAAAATGAAAAAGAACTACAGGCTTCCAGCACACAACTCCTGGGAAAAGGCTGCTGCTCCAACAGTCCCCTCTGGCAATGAAGGGATACTAATCTACTTTTGGTTCAACTATTATTTGTAGTTAAGTTGTGGCCACAACTGGGCTCACAGGTTACCAGAAGCCCTCTGGAAAAAGGAGCAGTTACTCCTCTTCTGCAGTTACTGAAGTTCTTTGAGATGTGTGTGTCCAGAAGGATTCTCTGTCTCAAGGGCTCATGCATCCATGTACTTTGACTGGAGATGTTTAATAGCACTGTGTTTGACACATGCATGTTCTCCAGAATCTGCATGCCCCATAGTGAGAACATACAGAACTACCCACGGTTCCTTCTCTACTGAAAAGCCTCCATGAGAAGAAACTCAAACAAAGATTAAAGAGGGCAGAGAGTACCCATCTCAAGGAACCCCAGTTGCTACATAAAGATGAGAGATTTCAGGTTATTCAAATAATGTCCTTATGAGTGATCCACTTCAGTTGGCTCCCAAGCAGTATGCCCAGAAGGATTAGGAAGCTTTGGAGCAGTATCTAACAGTGATGACAGAACTGCATTATCAATAGCAGCTTCTAATCTGGCAGTGAGTTTAAAATCATGTTTGGGAAACATATGTATGAAAACCAAATTCCAGTAACTAGATTAGCGCCAGAGAAGTAGATCTTGTAAAGAGTTAGCTAATACTCAGGAAGGAGGTAAAACATTAGTAGCCTCATAGTGAGAGAGAATACATCCTGTAATCCACTTTCAGAGTCTCTGGGTGGAAACAATGAATCTCCAAAAATGAAAGCATCTGGGAGACTTCTTAAAAGATTTGGTCCTGTCCAGCTAGAAAGCTAAAACCCTTCTTATTTTGACTATGTCTAGACTACATTCTATTTTCTAAAGAGGATATGCAAATTCTGCGAGAATTTCCCCTATCCACTGTACCAGTAATCCTGTAAAAAATCCTATCACCTCTGCAACTGACGACCATGAGGTACTGTTGATTCACTTGATAACACTGTCAAAGGTGAGATGTTTAGTGGCTACATTCTTTTCTTTTTGAGAGGGCCCAAAGAGTGGTTAATACTAAGCCCATGGTCACCAACCCATCGACCGTGACTGACTGATCTATTTTGGGGGAATTTGCATATCTTCTTCC